CCGATTGAATATTATGACGAGAGATTACACCACTCGTTCCGATTGCGTAACTCTAAACACGATCCAGATCACGGACGCCAGAATGACGTTACATGGAATTCCTGGGTTCCAAGTTAAGATACTATGTGAGCATTCGTGTCAAGGTGTGGCGAACGCGAGAAGAATTGTATCGAGGGCATAATTGCACTAAATTCTACTCGACGAAACAGTCCACTACTGCGTTATTGGGAAAAATATAAAAATCGAAAAAGAGATACTTAATGTATATAATCGAGCTACTAGACTTTCCAGGACCGTACCACTAGAGATCATAGCGCAGAGATACTCCAGCATGCTAAAGTAATATCTTCACGGGTACAGGTGGTACACGAACCAGCCCCAGAGGGAGAACTACGCGGAAGGGTTGAAAATTTCGAAACGTACACGAATAATAGTAACTGCAAGGTTGATTCAGTGTGTCCGGCTGACCTATTCCACTTCCATAGTGGCTCGGGGTGGTGGGGTGGTCTCTAGTACGCGAATCAGTGGGGGTAGGATAACTGAGAGCTAAAACGACGCCCCTCTACTATCGGCGTATCTGTGGTGGGGGCTACGCTAGATGCAAACGCTTGGACGACATACCCCTCCACTGACCAGCGTTCTGTGGGGGCTAGTTTAAGCTTCGTCTGGTGCACGATGCTACCCCAAACTCATTCTCGTTCGGATCCTCCACCGGGAGAGATCAGTCTATTTCTTTTCAAAATTTCTTCTTCACCCTTAACCTGTTCTTTTTAACCCTTGGGGGGTCGAGTTTTCTGACGACTTTACAGACGACGATCCCTGGGCCCATATAATAGATTCTTAGATATTCCGAATCACTCCGAGACACATAAATATTTAATCATTCATTCTCATAGTTCCTGGATTAAAATGTTTAAATTTGTTTCTTGTAGAATAAAAATGTATGAAGAGTTATCGCCCAATAAGATAATTTAACAGCATCACAGAACCACACGAAATATGACCGAAACTTGAATAGCCTATTCAGAAATGAAATACGACTGAATTAATATACAAGGTGTTCAAGAGAGGGGTCAAAAACTAAGTAGTTGTCCATAAACAAATGAACAACGAAAAATTAAAAATTACTTTACTCAAAATTTACGACCTGTAGACTGATTTGAAAAAATAGGTCATTATGTACCACTGTGCGCCGCACACCGACGCAACTGAGTTTTTTCGATCGTGTGCACACTGCACATGCAGCCATGCCGTCGCCGCGTTGCATTACGGTAGACAGACCGGTCGGTGGACGCGCGCACGCGTATCACGAGTTTACATACTACACACGTGTTACTATAGATGTTACTACGGCGAGTACTCTGTAATCTGACACAGAGCACGGAGATTGAACCCGACTGAGCGAGACTCGTTCAACCGGAAGTAATCCCACGGGAAAGCGGGAGAGAGAAAAAAGAAACGAGGGAGGGAAAAATTGCTCGATTACTTTCGCAACGAACAGACGAACGTGGAATCTTCCGTGATCACTATGTCAGACAAACGTCAGATCTTGCTCGCGGCTTATGCTTGTCTTGTATGGGATCATTCATCGGACACGATATGTATTTCGATCGGGATCCGTGAAGTGTGGATTCTTTGACAGAAGATGATTGTCCCTTGGCAATTGAGGGATGTCGAACAGTATTCGTGGTATTGTTGGTGTAGATTAGCGATGGAAATCTCTGATGGACCAAATAATAGGGGTAGGAAGGTATTGGGGTGCGTCGGGTAATATTTTCGACACTTTCATTTATTTTAACACTAGAACTACAGATTTAAATCACGTTGTTAAACGGGACAGCTTGTTGAGAATATGCATAGAACGTGGGATTTATTTAGTCTCGTAAGAAGGGATCTCGAGGCGAATCGCTGCGGAAAAATCGACGGATTACACAGTGGAACGCGTCACGTAACCGAGCGACAAGTGTCCGGTAATCTGTAAGCTTGCGGATTGGATACAATCGAGCTCGACTGCTGACCCGGAAGTGATCCCTGCAAAGGAGATAAAAAAAAAGGGGAAAAAACGTAGCTTTGCTACTCGTAACCGAGCCACGAGGCATTACCGCCTTCCCCCCTTTCTACACAGATGTACACTCGAGGGACCTTAGGGGGTTATTTCAGATGGACATGCCATGAGGGTATTGTCCGATTCGAGATTCGTCGAGTGCCGATCGAACACTCGAGCGGAGCTTTATTGGAGGCTACATTTGCCGGTCAGTTCTCTCTCTCTCTCTCTCTCTCTCTCTCTCTCTCTCTCTCCTCTCCCTATGTAAAAATTTTGCATATGGAACAGATTTAACTTTTCGATGCTTGGAGTAGTGTATAAAAGAAATAGATTTTAAGTAAAAATTCATTTTTTTCTAGAAAAATCAGTGACGTGTATAGTTTTAAGATGATTTTAGGTAATCAGAATTGCAAAGCAAATTTTGGAAAAACAAAAATTGAAATGAACAAAAACGTATATGTTAAATATTGTTTCAACTCGAATGACGAGTTAGACTCGTCATCTTGCACTTAGGCAAGACAAGTGCACGACGAGTCTCAGTCGTTAAATGTACTCAAATGGTTAATATTACTTCTTATCACGGAACACTGTACAAGTTCTTAACGAAGTAGAAGAGAAAGAGACTTCGAGTGGAACCGAACTATTAGCGAGAATCGTCCGCAAGGAGATCTGCGAAAAATGATTCGTTTCACAAGGAACTGGATTTTTCTTTCTTTCGTCGAATTCTGCGCGACTCAATGAAACGTTTCCCAAAGTCTAGCAATTCCAGACAATGGAGGAAAGATACGAGGGGGAGGGGGTGGACTGGTAACTTCGCGAAAGAAACATCTGGGACAGAAATAAAACGGGAAAGACAGCGTCGACGGCGGTCATAGAACTTCATTAGTAGCTGATCCGTCGTAACGAATTGCTTCTGCTGTTCCGCGAACGCGTCTTCGACCGAATAATTCCTTTTCTTACGCTTCGTTCCCATCGTGGCTAATTCACGAATCCGGAAATCAGTCTGCATTATTCGCGAAATATTCTTATAAACGTGAAACATCGAACACGCGAAGCATAATTTGGTCCTTGTTCTAACTTCCGATCGGTCCTCTAATCCCAAGGTAAAATTTAGTCGAACACCGCCACCATCGACCTTGGAGCACGTGGGAAGCCTTTCAAATTATTCGACAAGTAGGTCAATCGTAAAACGATGGCTCACGTGTACCAGTACGTAACGAAATGGAGCAAACACCTCTCTCCTGGGATCGATCAACAACCACTTCGAACCGGTGCGTGAGATTCTAAACAAGATCGATTCCACCAGGAACATCAAATTCTAGAACATTAAAAATCTTGACTTCCATCTACGATATTCATCGTAAACACCGGTGTATAAAAATCAAAATTCGTGTTAACTCTTCGAATATAGTTTCTCTTCGTTCGAATGCGCGTTTCCTCCGTCGAAATTATTTCTCCTACAGTCTCCACGGATGCGAGGGAGACAGAAAGGTGGAAACGGAGGGAAAAAAAATCGTCTCTAATCCCTTCCACCGTTTAATCCTTTTCCTCGCGTCGGGAGAGAGGGAGAGAAAATGAAACGATGAATTCGCTCTCGGGGCAGAGCGGGAGAAAACATTGAGTTTCGAAAAGCACGGGGACGTTCGCCTCGCGTTTTTATCTCCCCCTCCCCCCATGGAAACGCTTCCTCCCCCTGGATGGCCGCGGGGAAACGATAATCCAGATAAGCCGCTAAATGCTAGCAATTTGAGCGGCAGGATCTCCAGAAACAATATTCCGTACTTGAAACCGACTAATGCCGGCTAACAGCCCCGGGGAGTTCCTTATACCGGGTGCTCAAACTAAATCGCCTTCAATGTAACCGCTCGAGAAACGGCCATTCAAGGCTCGTCTTGAATACACGAGGATTACCGAGCTTCGTGATCTTGCTTAATTCATTGCAAAAACAACGTTTCGAGCGATCACTGCTGCCCCTAATATGCAGATGATAGGCATTAAATTAGGTACAACGATTGAGATTGTTTAAACAGTGGTAGTCACTGAGATGTTGAAACGATTTCCTACCATTTGATTTGCAGACCATCTATTACAGAAAAAGTAATATAATACTTTTTGAAGGGTTCAAACGAATTTTTTCACAACAAATCAGGATTTTTAGCAAAATTTCCGAGAGTTCTGTGGAGATATCCTTGAAGTCACCAGAGAAACATAATACGTGGCAGGAACACCGACGGCAACAGAGGACACAGTAGAGCGATCAGAGAGAAACGGATGGAGGAAATATAAAATGCAGGCGTCACGACGACAAGGGAATAACAAAGGTAGCGAGGAATAAAATAAGGAAGGGAAACAGAGAATTTGCAGGGACTGAGGGGAATGGAGGAAGACAGAGCGAAGAGTCAGTGATGCGGAGTGAAAGTCCTCAAGCAAAAACCAGGCCAGGGCTTCGTATCTCGACGGGAACACACCAGGGCCATTATGCAATTACGGCGACGCATTTGCTGCCGTCTTTCCGAGCTGTGCGGTGGCTCGTCCAGACCGAGGCACGTCCTCGTTTCCCTTAGCAATTTACCTTCTAAATCGTTCAAAGTTTTCGAATTACCATAACCGCCGCCGTCTGCCCGCCGATACGTGGACATTATTTCCCGACAATTCGCGACAGTTTAATCGATGAACACTACTGGGTGTTATTCCGGACAGTCTCTCGACGATTACCCGAGCGTTACACCCTTTATCCAAGTATTTTAATATCGTGTATCCAGGAAGCTAACTTTTAGATAATCTGAGCAGGTTAAGTATTATTATTATTTACAATTATTATACTAGAACGAAAGCATTAAATGCATAAAAAAGCGTAATTCCACGTTAACCGGCTGTCTATGTGTCCGAGAAGGCAGACTGTGTTTCGTTTGGCCAGTAACCAGCCAGAGTAGGTTTATTAAGCAAAATGACTTACTGAAGTGTGACGAGGTGTAGGCGAACAAAAGCAGTCCGGAAATGAGCCGCAGTGACGTCGCATCCATTTTTCGGTTCCGGCTCCCGTTTGGCCAGTGTCCTCTTCTCGCCCTCTTACCGTCGTCGACGCGGGGGATGGCACATGTATACACACACGAACCACACGCGCGCACTTATGTTCGATCTGGAATCCGAAAGGAACACTGTGAACGATCGACGATCTCACCGCCAAGGTATCCACGGCTGGCCCAGTCCTCTACCCCCACCCCTTTTATTTTCGTTGTGATTCGAGCTGTAGCAGGTCAGAAAATATTGTTTTGTAAACGGTCGAGTCAACCTTGAAAATGTTCCCGGAAATTTCGGAAAATTAATCCTAAAGGAAGAATTTTCCGCGTGATTTATGGCTGCCTTCTTGATCTTTGAAGTTAAAATTGGAAATTATTTAAGTTCACATGGAGACGATGCTGAATATTAAATAGGAAAGGGGATACGACGGACAACGCTGGAATCCATTTTGGATTACCTTGAAAAATTTCGAACCTATGTTAAAATTTCACGAATAAATACTAATATATCGTCTTCGAGAGATTGAACAGTGACTGTACCCAGACAAGAAAATTTCCTAACGTAAAAGATTCTCTAAGAAAAAAAGCTCCTATAAAACTGTTTCTCTGTACCATGAATAATTTGAATAAAATTACGCCCACATCCGTCCGAAATACCGAAAAACAAGTTAGAATACGTGAAAACAGAATCGTCACAATAATTCCACGTTGAATAAAGCGTTGGTGTATTCACGGAAGACCGTTTCGGATGAAACGCGCAAAACACACGGGAGAAAGTGCAGAGCCAATATTTATCGGTAAATAAAATCTCGTATACGAGCAGTCGAGGGAACTAACCCAAGCGAATTGTGTTAACACTGGAATCGACCGGACCAAGGAAGCTCCTGAAGAAAACGGCCGGTGTATGTCGGATGGAAGAAGCGTGTTGACTATTGACCGAGACAACGTCGACTGAACAGAAAATTTACCACCGTGTGCGGCACACCTTTCCTCTGGCGGCTTTGAAAGACGCTCGCGGGGTACGATCAACGCGACCTCGAGCGTTCACGAGTCGCGCCTTGTACTTTCTATCCGCGATACACGAACCTTTTCCATCGAGGAAGTCCATTTTATATCGACACTTGAACCGTATGATCCTTGAGAAAGTAATATAATGAATTGAAGCAACGATCCTTCGGTTTATCTTTGCAATATCGATGGACTGGTTGCTGCAGAACAAATTAATGAGTTACATACCTTTGAGCTGCTAAATAAGAAGGAAAATTAAAAAATTTTGTTGTATATGTAGAATTATTGTTCTATGTTATTTCCTTAGTAATTTCGGAAAAATTGCACATTTACTTTTAAAGAAAGCAACGTGTGCACCCAAGTTCTTACAGAATCGTTGAATCCAGCGCGTTTTGGGAAACAACCTACAGACTCGGTGACGAAACGGTGAATACGAGCAGATCAGGGGGACCTGAGGCGATAATAAATTGACGGGAGCTAACCTGGCGGCGCGAGCCACGAAAGTTTCACCGCTCGAACGCGCTCCGCACGTATTATGGTGCCGGTAACGTGGCGAAGCAGAACGAACGGAGGTGAGAGTAAAGCGCAATGCAATCGTACGAACAATTAAAATGCCATCGGGCCGCGATCGTGACGGGGGTTCATTGACTACGACCGCGCGTCTTTAATTGCCCCGTTCCACGACCAGAAACCGATAGACTGCAAGCAAACTGCAACGTCCGTTGGAATCGTGCACGTGTGTATGGAACGTGGATACCTGTATTGCACGATCAATGACTCGTTTCATTTGTGAGACCGGTGATTCGATTATTTCACGTGAACAGAGCTTTGTTAAATTTGATTTTTATTCGAGTTCGTTTTGCTGTGTATCTTGTTACTATTCGCCCACTTTGACAGCCAGGCCATTACCTATAGGAGCTCCCGATTAATCGAATGTTCTTCCATATACCTCGTGTACCTTCACCAAATTTATTTTGTTCAACGTTTTATTGTAAATATTTATTTTTAGTTTTTTTACCAGAGACTTCGATCCGACAAAGTTAACGCGTGTCTGCTGATTCTTTTACTTTGTAAATAGTATTTGGAAAAATCATTTCCGCAGTATTTACGAAACAATATTAAATTGAGAATGCGTGATCCCATAATGAACGCAACACCGAATAATATTAATTTGACCGTAACAGAACTGTAAAGGTAAAGATTCGACTTGCAACATTTCAGTTACATATTAGACAATAGTGTCGCTTATTTAATAATGCCTGTTATATTTTCAAAGGATCAGCAGATCTCAACAAACACGACGATCCGTTAAGAAATTTTGCGTACGATGTAACGTGTCCCCGATGGTTGCGGGAAAGTAGAAATGGATCGTGCTGGGTCGAACCGAACGCGCCATCTTCTATGAACATTAAAGACCTCTGACTGTTCCACTCGTGCGCGATTTTCAGCAAAATGCAATTGTTGTTGTTGGTGTAATTAAATTTACAAGACGGTCCACTATCGAAGAATCATATCCATCGTAAAATTAATAATGAAAATATGTCCGTTACCGTACGTACCGATGTTGAAATCGCTAGACCCGACCGTTTAATATTCCACGTTTTCCACGCTTTCACTTTGACGTCACTTTCCACCGAGGATCTTCGGTAATCTATCTACGATATAACGGGCGCACATCATTCCATATTTCCTGTTCGGTTACCACTGGAAATTTCTTTCTATCGGGCGAGAATCGAGCGGATGGTTACCACAAATCGGCCGGAGGAACAATTTCAATGAGGGACCACGATATTCGGTTCAGTTGGCCGAACAGTAATACTTATTATTCCTGAGGCTATCCGTCAAATGTCGTTTCAACGAGCATAATCATTCGAAAACAATGAATTTACAATATTAAATACTCCCATTCGTTCCGTATCTCCTAAACCAAATCCACTATAAGATTCAACAAGAAACGTTCTCAGTGTACACTCATATACCCTTCAATTACCTTTCACCTTCACTTCCCGCTTCATCCCTCATTCTGTATCCACCTAGCTTCCTCAATAATTCCTCCAACAATACAGGCCGAACCGTACGAGTCGCACAGCGTCGAGCAGTTTACAACACCCCCGAAAGCTTCACTACTTGGTACCGCAAGACTTCTACAACCCCCGAGGCAACTTGATGCAATCGTTGCATCCGACAGAAAATTGGGATACGACTCGATCCAGAGAATATGACAACCAAATGGAAAGCTCGTAACAACCAGACGCAACGAAAGACGCATGGAAATATTTACTAGTAACCCAAACGTTAGTAACCACCCCCGATCCACATCGGATATAACGAGCAAGATGGAATCGTTCGCGAAGAGGCAGACAGTAACGCGATACAAGATGGACAATTGGCCCCGTCGTATATATGATCACTTCGTGAAAAACGCTAACCTTTTCAGCTACGCTGGCCGCAGAGAGCGCAGCGCGGCAGAGAGAGCAGGGTGAGCCCGCGCTAAGCTCGCTCGCTCGCACCGGGTGCGTGGAGCGCGCGGTTTTCGGACGTGGAAGGACTGACGACTGGGGGTTACGCACGTAGCCCGTACACAGGAGGCTTTGCGGGGGTGGGGAGGGTAGGTAAGAGGGGGGGCATGTATTGGCGGCCAGAGAGGCTCCACCTATCGCGTGCCAGAGTGGGAGGGCACAGGGACGACCTCGAGCTTGCGCCCTCGCCCAGGCGCTCCTCCGCTCGAGCAACCCCAACCCCCTTCCTTGGCTTTTTCCCAACTTTCAAGCTTGCGGTGCACCCCCCGCCGGGACCCCCTTCCCCTCCTCGTCCATCCAAGCCCACCCCCTGCCCCTCTGGAACCCACCGCTCGACGTAGTCACCATTACCGACGCCGGTTCTGCGCCCAATCCCCACCCCACCCCCTAGATACCTGAAGAGCTCCCTACCTCCCGTATAACGCTGGGCTACCACCGTGCTAGCGATGGGACCAATACCCTCGCGTTGACTTATCGATACCTTCGAGGGTACACTGTCGATTGTTATCGCAGCAACGTGCTCTGGAACGTGTACTCGGACGGCGCTGACTGGGTGACAAAACTTTGAATGGTTAATCGTGGCTAACGTGACCAGAGATGGACAGGCTTAAGGAATTCTGACGAGGAGTCTGTATGAATGCTGTGTGGTTTGTCTTTGCATGTCTCCTGGAACATTGGTCTTCGTAAAATAGATAGCTTATCGATGTTCGATGAAAGTAATTGGTAGTAGATGAGGAAAATACTTGTCATGTATTATAAGAGGTTTTCCTTTGATCACTGTCCTCACTGGTACCAAGAATCTGGATATTCGACGACATCGTACAAGCGATAGATTTTGCATTCGGGTAGGACCTTCGTGGGCGCACACCCCACGCAGTGTTTAAAATACCGTAGTCACTGAGAGAACGTAGGTTCGATGTATCTACGTCATGGAACGCCGAATATTGCCCACCTACGTTCCCTGCTGATAGGTCAGAGTTCAGGAAGAGGTCGAAGGAGGTTCCTCGTATGATTAAAAGGAGCCTCGTAGCCTCGAAAGGGACGTTTCGAACGTGTTCACGTGGGGTAGGAAATGTAGTTCGAGGAGTTGGCTGGATAGTTGAATCCCCCCCTTCTAAGAAGATCGACGCTATCGCTAGGTGGACGTAGACGAAATTCGGACTAAGGGGAACGGACCGCAAGCTCGTCGAGGATTTTGCCAGGGTAACCGGAAGAGGAGGTCAGGCAGAAGGGGGTGGGCGAGGGGAGGGCAAGCCTTTTGCAGCTGCAGCTCCGTGTGCCTTCTTGTAGCAAACCGCGGGTCGAGCGTTTTGCTCTCCTTCCGGTCGTTTCAACCGGTTGCGGAGCTCTTCATCCCTCGAGGTGCAGGTCCATTTTTCCTAGCCCTCGCTAGACCGGTGTTTTGTTGTCTTTACCCCTTGGGCTGGTAGCCTTTAATGAATCTAATACGATTTCGTTGTCCTGGGCAAAGAATTCGAAATCAGCTCAACGGCTTTACCTGTTTTCCCCGGTTGCGTCGGTTTACGCGGAGGCGTTGGAGGTGGAGGAGAAAGCGCGAAGCGTTGGAGGGATGAGTGGGAGGGAGGTG